CAACCTGGCAAGCAGGCCTTTTCAAGGATAGCAGTTTAGGCCTGCTATGTTAACTCTTTTCTGTACAACTACCTAACAAAGAACTGTAAGAGTCTCAGTATGTTATAACAATAAACATTAATTTTTGCTTGGTGGTGCTAGGCTAGACTTCAGGCTTTGTACTGGGTTCAAGTCTGTTCACAGATCTTCATAATTCCAGGAACTGTGGCTTCTGCAGTCATGTTCTTCTCACGTCAGGTGGCAGAAATACAAGAGAGCAAGCTAAATCATGCAAACAATTTTAAGGTCTCTGCTTACATCACACCTCTTAACATTTCATTTGCTAAAGTCAGTCATATAGCTAAGATCAACATTAGTGAGGTGAGAAAATATACATCTACTCTAATAGGGAGAAAAACCACATGGCAAAGGGTATGAATGTACAGATCCCTTACAGAGGTTTTAAATAATTGGGAAAAATAATCCAATCTACCACAGTGCCCTAGGGATCTCACCAAACTCAGAGGGCAAACGAGGTTGGAAGCATCATCTTACCACTTTTGAAAATGATATTTCTTAGTTTGTTCATTAGTTTATTCCCACACCTATGCCCAAAGGAGCCTTAAAGCAGACAAGAAAGAACATGGAATTTTAGCAATATCCTATGCAAGTTCTTTAGCAACATAATAATAAAATTAATAATAGCTAACATTAATGAGTGCTTACTATATGTCAAGAGTGTTACATGCATGATTTCATTTAGTCCTTGGTTGATGTCATTATTTTTCCCATTTTAGATATGAGGGAACAGAGGCCTAGAGACTTGCCCAAGGTCCTAAAGCTTATAAGTGGTGAAGCCAGGATTTGAATCCAGGCAGCCTAGATCTGGAGCTTGTGCTTTTAACCAGTAGGATATTTTAAATGGAATGCTTGGGCATATATGCTAGATTACAATGCTTCAATATTGGAGTGTAAAAGTGTGCCAGAAACATGGAAGCACCACCAAATTTTCACATGATTCACATGGGCTCGGGGAACTAAGATTTAATATGTTAAGAAAAGAAAATTTTTATCTTACTCAACTAAAATACTAAGAAAACTTGACTTTTTCCTCACAGCAACAGGTCAATATACCACATAGTTCAACCGTTTAATTTCAATCTTATTTAAATTCAAATATTCCTTGACTTTGAAGAACTGCTAATGAATACATTTCATTGATCAAAATAATTTTCAAAGCTTCTAAGCCAGCTTGCCTTTCTACTTTCTAGACTAGATAAAGTATCTGCTACACATACCATCTCCTATGATTCTGTAAAGGCCATGTTTTTTCAGTCAAGAAAAATGATCACAAAAATCTTCCATTTTCACTAAACAAGTATATTCAAGACTGTGTTCAATAAACAATTTAACAACTAAGAAGTTTTTCCTTTATGAAGCAAGAATTCTGTAATGCAAATATACTTCTATCACATCCAGAGTTGCTAGTCCCTCCCTTTATGGTTATGGGGGGGGGTGCATTTTAATTACAGACATTCACTTCTCTTCAATTGTCTTCTGAGCTTAATGAACAATGAAAGTACCGTACTACTTATCAGAAATCACTAAGAATCGAACGTCGAAAGGCATGTTCCTGCAATAAGCAATGGTCTGCTAAGTGTCTCATTTGAAGATGAGTAAATGCTGCTGTAGGAATTAAGTCTAGGGTCTGTCTGACAGAATAGATTAAGAACCCATTGTAGGGAATTCAGAGGGTTACCAATAACACAAAACGTTATCTAGATGTACTCAGCCTGTAAAAAACACGATATATAAGAGAGAACACTTCTATCTTCAAAAAACGCAATTACCTAAAACAGACTAAAGGTTGAAAATGAAAAGAAAAAAAAAGGACATTAACAAATGTCAACTAGTCAAAAATAAGTTTGAAAAAGTGAAGTGTGATACCTTAGTCCAAACATGAAAAATGAGGAGATACACACTGTATTTTTCCATAATGCCCAGGGCATTTGGAACTAAGGAACAGTTACTCAGAGAAAGAGGAAGGTGCTTAGTTCAACTGTTTTGGTTTTTAATAATTCCTCACTTTCTCTGCTGGTTTTTCAAGTGTTTTGCCACTTATCTAAAAAATATGATGACACTGGCTTGTGAGAAATACAAAATCAGGAGCTCTAAATGGATTTATGAGATTCTTCAGAAGAGAGAACAATGATACAATGGAAAGCAGGAACTGCTGGCAGATTTCCATTTAAAGTAAAGCCAAATTTCAAATATTTTAATGGAAAAAGAGTCATACACACCTCTTTAATTTCGTAAGTATAAATTATTTATCATATCAAATTATCCATATAATCTAATTTTAACAAATAAATTTTTCCCATGAGAAATATTTCAATATTCATAGAGTGATTTTTTTCTCTTTTTAAAAAACTAATTTTTATATGTGTTGGGTCCTTGTTGCTGTGCTTGGGCTTTCTCTAGTTGCGGCGAGCGGGGGCTACTCTTCATTGCGGTGAGTCGGCTTCTCACTGCGGTGGCTTCTCTTGTTGCAGAGCATGGGCTCTAGGAGCATGGGCTCAGTAGTTGTGGCTTGCAGGCTCTAGAGCGTAGGCCCAGTAGTTGTGGCACACGGGCTTAGTTGCTCCGCGGCATGTGGGATCTTCCTGGACCAGGGCTTGAACCCATGTCCCCTGCATTGGCAGGCAGATTCTTAACCACTGAGCTACCTTCATAGAATGATGTTTAATAAAATTAAAATTTCACCCTTAAGAATATTAGTTACTATATGAATCCTGTGTGGACTCAAGACTAAATGGCCTACGCTATTTTCAGTTATCACGTTAGGCCTTATACTCTACGATTTACTGTTAATGAAGATTTGAAAAAAATAAAAGAAGTAATTTCTTAACATAAACTCAACTTCAATATAATTAACAAAGTAATATTTATTCATAAAAATCAGTGAAAAATTTAATATGGATGAGAAGTCTTTCTTTTAAGGGGTAACAATTTTCAGAAAAATTCCCAAATAAGGTAAGGTATTCCTCCCAAGATATCACAGCCAAAACCTAAGCATAGGAAAGTCCCTTAGAGGACATCCAGGGCAAACTCCTACCCGTCTTGGAGAAATTCCTGCCACAGCATTTATAACAAGTAGCTTTCCAGAGTCTGCATGAATGGTTCCAATGATTGAAAGGTAGGGTTTATTATCCATGGCCCAGCCTGTGCTATTGCAGGTGAGCTCTGATTGTGGAAAAGTTCTTCTTGTTGATGAGTAGAAATCTATATTCTTAAATTTTCAATCCACTGAGTATAGTTCTAGCATCCACAAGAACCTCAAATTCCAATTCTTCTGTTCCCTAATTGGAAGTAGCTGAGAACAGCATGGCAAGTCCCATCACTCTGTGACTTGCAGGGGAAGAGGAGGAGGATGGTGGAGACAAGTGACAGAGCAATGAAAAAGGAGATGGAAGACAACCAAACATTTGGTTCACAAGGATATTTTATGTCAGATTCAGTGCCAAACAGAATCCAAGACTACAAAAGACAATGTGCATATGCATGTGTATGTATGGATTTGTGTTTGTATATATGTGAGTATACAGTAGATGCATGTATGTAATACGTGTAATGTATGTTTATACATGTGTGAGTATATATACATGTGTGTATGTATATGTGTGTGAGTATGTGTACGTATGTGTGCGTGTGCACATGTATATGTGTGTATAAAATGCCAAGTCAGCTAACAGGAAATGCAAACATTGGGTTTTTAGGATATTTTTAACAAGAATATAAAATACACACATCTGCTAAGCACTGCAGGAGTTGTTAACAGACTAGAGAGGATGAAAGGGAGTCAATAAACCTATGTTTATATTATGGTAAAAATATGGTTATTTCAAAATATCTGAATAATTAAATGTCAAGCTTATTATCTAGACATTTGCTATCAAGTAGACAAAGAAGTTCCCAATGAGTAAATAAAAATCAACCAGATCACTCTACTGGGTCTCTTTCTGCAAATTTCTGACAGGATTCTTAGCATGGCACGGAGTGGGCCAGCCACGCTGCACCTTCCTGGCTGGGGGTCAGGATTTACCCTCTCAGTTCCTTTCTCCACTTGCCCGTCTCTAGGCCTTGGAGAAAGGCAGCAACTCCTCACAAGAAGTCTGGGCTCTCTGGAGGTAAATACAGCCCCCACTGGCAGCATGTTCAATCATTAAAGAAGAGCGAAAATATGCTGATTAGATCTCAAGACAAGAAAGAGAACAAACATACAGACAATTTTTCCTCAAACACAGAAATGAAAGAAAAAAAAGGGTTTGGGTAAATTGTCAGGATATCAATTTAGCAGAACACAATCTAGAATTAATCAAAATGTTACTAAATTTTATTCACCAAAAATGATAAAACTATATTCAGATCTAATAAGGTAAAATAATAAAACTATACAAACAGTTTTAGCTACCATAAAATTGGAAACGACTAACTGGATAATTTAGTAAGTCTTTTTCTAGGTAATACATAAACCCATTCCAAATTGTGTAGCCTGGTAAAATACAAAAATTATTCATCGTGACTCATTAGGCAAAACTGGCACACCACCTGTCTTTGTAAATAAAGTTTCACTGGAACATGGCCATGCTCATTCATTTGTTGCCTATGCCTATTTTCATGCTATAACATCAGAGTTGAGAAGCTGTGACAAAGACTATTACGGCCCACAAAGCCTAAAATATGTACTATCTGTTCCTTTACAGGAAAAATTTGCAGACTCCTGCCCTATATAATCATGGATCCTAAAATAAGCATGTAGGCCACATTGCTAAATCATGATAGTTTCAAGGGAGGAAAGAACTTTACTGTCTTTATCATGCAGGTCTCCTTTGTTACAAACCATTAAAGACCAACAATAAAAAAGAGTTGCAAAAGAATGTTCCAAGTGTTGTGAAGGTATTTTACAGTTTGGAGAAATGGAACAATTGGTTCTTCCTACTTGTTTTGTTGGTTCTTCCTACCTGTTTTCCTTCCTCTTCATCTGAAGAGTTCCTGACATGGATACTTCTGCTGGGTTGGTAACCTTTCAGCTTTTCTTGACCGGACCAGTTGTTCTTTTGATCTGTTGTACTTTCCTCATCACTTCCTGGGTTATTTTTCCATTCTTTCATCATTTCTAGCACATTGGTTGGTCTCGCCGAAGAAAGTATATTGCCCTAATGTTAACAATGAATTTTTGGTGTTATAAACAGTTTAGAAAACGGAAGACTCTTACATATTTTAGTAATATAGTCTCACAAATTCAGTAAGTCACATGGAAAAATTATAACGCTGAATAAATAGCAAAACTTTGGATGCCCTTTTGAGCATACTCCTTGTACTGGCACGTCTCAGACCTCTTCACTAATACTTTTACAATATGCCAAAATTTAGGGATGGGAGAATATTCTGGTTTAAAAGAATAGTGCAGCATGCTTGTGTGAAAGAACCACTACATAGGGCAAGTTCCTGGAATCCAAAGACCCCCTTACAGTGCCGTTCCTAGAAAATTAATAGGGAAGCTGAAAGAATGAAAGAAGTTGCCCAAAGTCTACTGGGTAAGCCTATATAACATCAAAATGTTTAGGTAAAAAATCTAAATTCAGTTGATTAGTCCGGTGCCGTGTCCAAGAATATAGATGTTTGACTTGAAAGCTCTTGGTTGACTGGAAGATTTCGATATAATGTGGTCATTTGATTATAATGGATTCCGTGCACTGTTTTAACCCCAGATGTGGCTATACCATATTAAATTGACCATTTTATATTAACTATATTTTTCTCAAATATAATATTCCATTTAATGCCAAGAAATGCATGAATGCATTCTTAAATGCTAGACTAGGTATGCCTTAAATAGTTTTGCTCCTAACTCAGACTAGTAGAGAAAGTTTGGACAAGAAGTTTGGATCACATTTAGATTAAAACAGGACGTTTAGGTGTGGGAACAACTATGGAGTGATCTAAGTTAATTTGATATGTGGGTGGATTGAAGCATTACGCAACAGTGATACAGAATAGTATGAGGCCAGGCATCTTAAGGGCAGCCATCTGAGTACACTGTTGAGGATTTGTAGAGTTCAATATATTCGTGATTAAAGACACAGACAAATATTAAGCATGGAATAGTAATAATTAAATGAGGATCGTTATGCTATTCGTTCCCTGTGGTTCTTCTACGTCATCCTGTTTTAAGAAGGTCTATATTCTTACTACTTTTATAGCATCCTACTTTTGGTTGCACTTCTGCAGCCTCTACCCATTTACTCCCAGAATGCCTTTACTATGCCTTCTGCCAACCCGTAGCCTACATTTCCGTCAAGGCTCAAGTTGACAGTCATCTCCGTCAAGTATCCCAGAACTTCCAAAGATGTTGTCAACTTAAATGAAGCACAGTTGAAGTCTCAGAGAGCAAAAAGTAGTTGAAATTGTTTAGAACAGCAGATAGTCTCAGAGCTCTCATCTGAATGAGTTCTGATCTTCAGGGCTCTGTCAACAGCTCTGCTTGACCCCAGTGATTCATCTAGCCTCTATTATAACTTCCTGGCTTCATCATGACCTTGAACACTAACCCACAGTGTCCAGGCTCCTGGAATACTAGTACACACAACTTTGCCTCAACTTAATTCTTTCATTAGAAAACAGAGACAATCTGACATCTATGTCTGTAATCCCGGTCCTCAATTGCTCTTCCCTGATAAACTCTCTACAAGTTAACTCTTTGGATCTAGAGTCATTTCTTCCAGGCACATGGTAGAACTTTGCTTCTCCACCTCTTTTGGAACATGATGATATGACTTGTTTTGACCAGTAAAATGTGATTTGAAATAGTGTGTATCACTTCTGGGTAGAAACTTGAAGAAAGAGCGTGTAATTTACATGTTCTCAATTTCTGCCTTAGTAACTATAGAAGCACAGAGATGGAGCCTCCATCAGCCTGGGTCCCTGAGTGAAGACAAAGTAAAACAGAGCTTGCTCCCCTCCTCCCAGCCAATGTGCAATGGAAGGCATAAACAGCACTGAGATCTGGGGGTCACCTGTTACCACAGCATAATCTAGCCTGTCCTGATATAGACAGAAGATTAAATATTTACACTCTGTAAGTCACCTCCAAAAAGCTTTATAAAGAGTGAGCCCACTATATAATCAGCATACCCAACAAAGTTGTAATTACTACACAAATCATATGCAATCAGTACCATGTGATAGCCAATTTATGTAGGCAGTCTTTGCTTTGCACAGTCTTGATATGCATGAATTTTACTCATCATGACTTAAATAATATCAGTCCCTCAGCAACACAGTTCAAATTTCAGTCACCATGGTACATTAACTATAATTGCATAAAGTTCAAACTTCACTGCTAGCTCTTCAATCCACGATCACCAGGTAAATTACAGATCTGCATCACAATCAGTGACCAATCACATCACTTCTTTCACAGTCTGTTGGTGATTGGACACTGTGCATCTGCTATTCAGTTCACACACAGACAGCAATGTGTGCAGTTGTGCTGACTCCTTGTCTCGCAGGGAATTTGCCAACAAAAATGAAACTGCAACAAAGAAATTAAAAGTGATAATACTGGGAGTAAAATTTGAATCAAATGTAAATGGAGTAATAGAAGAAATAGCTGACCATGGGAATGCTGCCACTGCCACTGTGAGAATCTAGATGCGCAACCAAAGGAACTTAGTGAAGGCAAACTTATCAACATAAATGAGGAAGGATGAAGATGCTTCAGGGAAAATGCCACCCACAAAAAAACTTGACATTTAAAGAATTTTCAGAGATATTCAAGACATTGAAAAGACAAAGGATACAACGTTAGAAGTTGATCCAAACTTGTAAAACAGTATGACAATTCACCAAGGCATAAAAAAGATGCTCCCCTCTGTATGATAAGAAGAAGGCAAGCACTGTTTAAACTAATCTTGATAAGTTTTTAACCCCAAAATAAGATACTTTAACTCTCAATATTTCTCTCAATATTAAATTACAGCGCCAAAAATTTAGCTTTACTTTTATTTCATTCTCTCTCTGTATTTAGAACCAACAGTTAGGGAGTTTTTAATGTTTAACAAAAAATTTTAAAGGGCATGGAAAAATCACAATTTTTCCCATTGATTATTAAAATCATTTTGCACAGCTTCAGTCTGCACTATTTTTATGGTTCTGCACTCCTGTGCAAAGCAAGGATTACCTGTACTATCTTGAATCTGCATTTCTAGACAGCTTTCAAGTGCTTGGTTCACATATATCAATATATACACACAAAAGCATGGTGACTGACACGCTACAAATGACTCTATTTCTTATTGCAAAGAGACTGGGGAGAAGAGCAAAAGATCTAGAATAGGGTCATTATCCCATCAAAAACACTCTACCATTTATAAATTTTTAACTATTTGCTTCCTATATTCCCTTGTGATATCAAACAGGGCACAAATGTTGGTATAGATTCCAGACTTTCCCTCTTGTCTGAAGTCCAGCCAGTAACTTACCAGACTAGCCCCTTCTTGCCTGCTAACAGTTGGAGGAAGAATTGCATCAGATACTTGGACTGACCAATGAATAAGTGGCCCAGAGCTGTGTGTCATGAGCCTTCTAGGCTCAAGAGAAATTACACATGAACCAACCAAAGAAAAATGGGTGGAACTGTTAGGGCAGACACTGGAGATTGTGGAGACACCTCACCACCAGAACAGTAACCTCTGAACTCCCTTTACTGGCTGTGTTAAGAGGGGTCACACCCTGAACTCATCAACCATGAAGCAGCAAATGGCAAGAAGGCAGCAGTAATAGGCTGATAATCTGAGGCTATCATAAGTAGAAAACAAACCTTTTTGTTAATAAATTTCCACTTGTTTAACTAACAGTTTGAGATGACTTCATTTTGAAAAACTGGAAAAATGAACACTCACAGAGGAGAAGCATTGGTCAAATACTAAGATTTGGATTTAATCTTAGTAGACAGGTCCTGCAAATAGGAACCCAAACATATATCCTCATCTAACAAAATTTGCCTTTTCAAGGACAGTGCCTATCAGTATTCTGTAAACAATAAGTCTTTTACAAGTATTTTTTAATGAATGAATGAATGATATGTATGAGTTGGGGTAAGATAGTATAAAACATAAAATCAGCAAAGCGAAAAGGAAACATTCTGGGTCTTTAACTTACGGTCATCATTTTCTACTTTTCGTAAGTAGCTAGAACTCTTTATTTTGTAATGTTCTGAGGAATAAATTTTTTTAATTAGAAAAATTTTTTATATCTTTATAAAAAAGATATAAAAGGATGCTCAACTTCACAAAATTAATAAAATCCAAATCAAAAACAATGAGTTGGCAATTTTCACCTAATAGATGGACATAAATTTAAGTTTGATAAAACTGTGTTGGTGAGGGTATGGGGAAACAGGCTCTCTCATTTACTTGCTTTTTATGGGAGGATAAATCGGCCATAAACTATCAAAATATGTAATGCACATTCTCACAAACCAGTAATTCAACTTTTAAGAATATATTTTATAGATATGCTGACACAGTATGCAAACATATACTTACAAGAACATTTGTTGCACCATTGTTTGTAACAGAAAAGACCTGAAACAATTTAAATATTCCATATTCATAGGGGCAAAATAATAGTGTACCCATAGTTTTGGATACAATACTGTTTTTCAAAAAAATAAGTGTATCTTCCCAAAATACATTAGATGAAAAAGAATAGTTTGCATAATATAAACCCATTTGTGAAAAGTGAATAATAAAAATGTTCAGAATGTATTTGAAAGAATACATAAGAGACTTAACAATGGTTATCTTTAGTAACTGGGAATGAGGGAATAGAGGGAGAAAGTTATTTTTCCTGCCTTGTTTACCATTTAAATCATTTACTAAGGGTAATGGCAACTATTATATGACTAAAAATTAATATAAACTATGTAGGAAAAGAAATAATGTAAGTTGCAGATACTCACAAAGGACTGATAGCACCCAGTAAGATCACCAAACATGCTCTCATGGGTCTCAGTGAGGCCAAGGCAGCAGCATAGAAAGGTAGTAAGGGCTGCTGAAGTAAGCAACTCTGCACCACTTTAAAATTTTTCCTAACAAAGGCATCTCAGTGATTTAGCTTTCAAAAGTATAGCAAATAATGAGAATAGAGAAAA